TAGTGCTGCTAAGTGTTTATTATTTGCAGACGATTTGAAACTATATCACGTAGTTAAAAATATCTCAGATTGCAGTGATCTGCAAAAGGACATAGACGCAATAGCTAAATGGAGTCACAATAATCGACTGTATTTTAATGGGTCAAAATGTAAAATTATAACCTACACACGCGCTCGCAGGCCAGTAATTGCCAATTATGGGTTATCGGATAGACAATTGGATAGAGTTGAGATAATAAGAGACTTGGGACTAACTTTAGATTCACAACTAAACTTCAGACAGCATATGATAAATGTTTGTGAGAGTGCTAATAAAATGTTGGGATTTGTGATGAGGATTTCGTTTGACTTTAAGGGAATTGGAGCAGTCCTAACTTTATACAAGGCTTATGTTCGTAGTCGGCTGGAGTATGGTGCGGTGGTGTGGGACCCCCACGAAACAAAATACTCCATCCTAATTGAGCGTATGCAAAGAAAATTCGCTCGATTTGTGTCAACGTTCCGCAAATTGTTTTTTTTATGGCACAAGCCGGTAAACGAGCAGACGGATCACCTGATGGTAAGCAATCGGCGTCGCCCATGGACACCTGGAACACCAGAGGCATTACAAGTGCGTTACCGGCCTTTTGGGGATTAGGAGTTTGAGTATCGTTGGGGATTCAGGAATTGGGGACATTGGGGGTAATTGGGCCTCCGGTAACTCACTCACACGACGAAACACAACGCAAGCGTTGCTTCACGTCGGTTTTCTGCTCGGCCGGGGTATCACTCCGGTCAAGCCGGCCCATTCGTGCCGAAGCATGGCTCTCCCACACTTGTAAATCTACTTATTTGATTAATGAATCGCCTGAGCGGCAATATTAAGTCTTCGAGAAAAGTGATGGTTGTGTTTATTGAAATGATGTTTGAATTTATTTTTTGAAATTATAAATACACATCTAATTTATTATTGAGCCAGTTTTGTTTATTTATAAGATGTTAATAACAACAGTGACTGGATAGGTAAATAGTTTCAAAATATAAAGCTACTAAAGCCGGTTATATTATCAACAAAGTAAAAACAGAATTAAGACGTAACTCATTGTTTCAGGGTTCATAATTCAATGTCATTATCATTCTCAACCGGTTTTTGCCCATTGCTGAATATATAAAACGATTTGGCAATCAAGAGTAAAAATCTTACTTTTTTACTTATATATATTTTGTCAGCAATGTTATTTAGTAGTCTACGATGGTTTTTATTCACTTTAATTGGCTAGGTACTTGCCAAGTAGTCAAATTAAATACTTTTTTCGAACTGTCAAAAACGATAGTCTTCTATGAATTTTGTACGAGACTGTGTATTGTGACGTCACGTTTTTTTTAGCGTCAAATAACATACTATTTCGTAAAATTTTGCTGGAAAAATACTAAAATTAAATTGGTTATAAAATCAAGTAATGAAATTGTGATTATTTTTAAATATTTTATTTTATTGAAGTAAGAAATAATATATTTTTGATTAAAAAAAAGTAACCAATTCGTAGCATATTTAAAAGAGCCGTGGAGGCCCGGAGGTTTAAGGCGCCCGCTTCTCATGCGTGAAAGCGAGGGCTCGAAACCTACCAAGGGCAAGCACCAATGTGACTATTCCGAGTTATATGTACTTTCTAAGATTATTCAGACACCACTGACAAACACCAGAATATCGTGAGGTAACCTGGACTTATAGTTTTCGGTTATAAGTTTGAAATCGCCATCCCGCATTAGGCAAAATCGCCATCCCGCATTAAGCAAAATCGCCATCCCGCATTAAGCAAAATCGCCATCCCGAATTAAGCAAAATCGCCATCCCGCATTAAGCAAGATTAAAACTCAAACCTTCTCCGTGTGAGAATAGGCCTTTGTCAGCAGTGGCCACTAATAGGCTGTTAATGTTTTACATTTAATAAGTAATTTGTATGCTTATTTAATCTGCTATTTTGCAAGATTTTTATATAAATAGATATTTAAATAACTTTAAACTAACATTAAGAGACCTTGGACATTCAAAAGACATTGGTAAGTAAAAAATTAAATTAGACAACTGAACTTAGTAGTTGACCTTGGGTTAAGGCGTAAACTTACAGATATAAAGTATTAGATAAAACAATAAAAAATTACAATATTTCTGGATATTAAAGTGTTCTACTTCAAACTGATTATTGTTGTATAATAATTAAAAATATAGAAAATTTGAATGTGGCACGAATGGCCCTGAAAACTAGTAAAGAGCAGGTTTATTTTTGCTTCAGAACACGCAATTACGTCGAATAAAAGTAGAATTCAAAATTACGTAGTAAAAGGCGGATATTGTCAAAATAACATAACAATAACATAACAATAACATGTCTTATGACGCTTTATGTACCTATGAACTTATATGTAGGTTAGTAACTAAGTTGAAATTGATGCCTTGTAAACGTATTTGTTGGAATATGATACACTAGCAGCCCGTTCCGGCTTCGCACGGGGTAGACAATTATTTATTTTTGGAAATTTGGATTGTTGTAGTGACATAACTACAATAGTTGGACATATGCTACCGCGGAGTTTTTTGTAGACATTATGATGTTCTTCAATATTGTTGTACATGATTTTGTTCTATCGCTAATAGTTTTGGCAGCGCATTCGACGAAAGACATTTTAAGACTTATTTTTCTACACCTTCGGTTACATTGTTCAAATTTTACCAAGAAATGTAGCCTATGTCAAATTGGAAGAATGTAGCATTCTATTGGTGAAAGAATTTTTTAAATCGGCCCCGTACTTTTTGAGCCTATTCATAAAAAACATACAAAAAAAAGTACAAATCTTTTCTATTTATAATATTAGTATAGATAACATAATATCACGACTCTTTTATCCCTAAAGGGGTAGGCAGAGGTGCACATTACGGCACTTAATGCCACTGTACAATGTAATACCCATTTTTCACTATTTATATTATGAGTCCCGTGTATTAGGGGGTGAGCTTATTGCTATAATTATACCATTTTCAGAGTCCGTGCTGGGCAAGGGCCCGGCAATCGAACTTGCGTCCAGTCTGCTAAAGTGACAGCAAAGTGGTTTTGGTATGCTGCTAAAATAATCAGTACAGAAGAGATAAAATGAACAAAAATTAAATTGGCTGTTTTAAAAATAAATTGTGTTTTAAACTGTCAAACACCAAGCGGTCACCGGTGACCACAACCTATTGTTCTATAATTGTGTCTACAAAACCGGTACTCGACGAGTTAAATGGAAACCAAATCTCCTATAATCTCTGAACCAATATTTATTTTCTTACCTTCATATCAAAATTCTTGTGCTAACTTACAAACCAACTTCTTCCCGTGACTTCGTACACGCAATCCCGTTTTTTCCCGTACCCGTAGGATTTTCGGGAAATAATTAGATAAAAGTCCTATGCCCATTTCCTAGTTCTAAGCTATCTCTGTATAATTTTTCAGCGAAATCTATTAAGCTGTTCTTGAATTATAAATAGAATAACATTATTCTGTCTAACTCTTTGTAGAATATAAAACGGGGTGAATAGAATTCGAGGGGTGAATAGATACAGGAATGTTCTATATCTATTCAGCCCTCGAATTCCATTCGTCCGGTTTTACCGCATTAAAAGAATATTGTGATTTAGTGTTACGAATTTAGTGTTACGAATTTAGTGTTACGAGTGCGTGAGATAATTATAAGCCTATTGTCATATACCGGATGAAATATATAACACACATAACACATACATAACATCTCGCCTTTTATCCCCGAAGGGGTAGGCAGAGGTGCACATTATATACCACAGTACAATGTAACTGCATGGCTCTTTGAAGTGCATGCGGAACGCGACGCGCCGTACGTTCAGAATTCTCAATTCTGGCAAAGTAATACTGGGAATTTCTGGTGTCCAGTAATTTGTGGTAATACGGAAAAACCGACCGATCTCAAAGTTATTTGGGGGAAGGTTTGTACTTAGCAGTGGATGTTTTGTGACTGATATGATGATGGCAATGATAATGATGACGAGATAGGGCACAATATCAGGATTAATAGAAAATGCTCGGTTTGTCAGACGTGTAAGCTTCTCAGTCGGCTCTCAGGACATACATACATAACATCACGCCTTTTATCCCCGAAGGGGTAGGCAGAGCTGCACACAGAAGTAACACCCACTTTTCACTATTTATGTTATGAGTCCCATGTAATAGGGGGTGAGCCTATTGTCATATACCGTGCACAATTTCAGACTCCGTGCTACTACTGAGAATATTTAAAAACCCAGTATTACTTTGCCCGACCCGGGAATCGAAACCGAGATCCCTTGCCCGGCAGTCGCACTTACGACCACTCGGCCAAAGAGGCAGAAATATAGAACACCATGCTAAGAATTTAGGAAATTCTTCATTGTACTGGAGATCAATATTGATCTATCTGTAAAATAATATTATCAAATTATAATGACGTAATGGTCTTGTGAATGCCAAATAAAATGGTTTCATCCTAAATATATTGTCAATGTCATCGATGAATTTAATTCTTTGTGAGATTACTGTACAGTCAGTCCAATATATCTATGACTATGATAAACATAAAAACTAAGATAAAATATTTACAACTTAAAAACAAATTGCTCAGACTGCCTCGTTGGCCGAGTGGTCGCAAGGGGTCTCGGGTTCGACTTCCGGGTGGGGCAATGTAATACTGGGTTTTTTAATTCAAAGTACCTAGGAGCAGGGAGTTTGGAATGGTTCTTGGTATATGGCAATAGTTACCACCCCCTATTATATGGGACTCATAATATACCTAAATGAGTTACATTGTACAGTGGCATTAAGTGCTTAGTATTACACCTCAGCCTTCTCCTTTGGGGATAAAAGGCGTAATGTTATGGTATGTTAAAAATAAACAAATAATATATATAAGAAAACATAAAAAGAATGTACGTAGGTACATACTAAACATTAATAATAACAGTTTTGGACACATACCTCTAATACGGCAACTTTCATCCAAATTTATTCCAAAACAAGCCAACGAAAAACCTGAACGACAATATCTATGCAATATTTACAATAAACTCAAATTAAAATTAACAATGAAATAAAACCTTAAACACACTTGAAAGAATCTGTGAGACAACTATACGCAATAATGCCACTGAATTAAAAAAAAAAAAAACAATATTAAAATCACTCAATGCGTTACCACTAAGCGGTCAGTATCAACTGAGGTGACGGACAAGAATGACACAAAGCTACTATGTCTTCATAATGCTACATATACCAACTAGCACGACCATGAATCTGCTTGAGAATAAAAAAAGGAAATTATTTTGTCAAGGGAAACAATTGCTCATTACGTTCGACGACAGTTTTTTATTGTATTTTTTTGAAGGGGATACTCATCCCAATGGCTTCTCCTGCTCAGGTGAGGCGAAAGGGAGTGTCAGACTCGTACTGACTTAAAACCACCCCGTTCCTACTCCTGCACTTCGAGCCGGAGCCCTGGCAAACCAGTAACTCCTCTGCGGCTCCATATCGGCATCAGGCCTATTGGGCCCCATCTGTGGTGGTCTGATGGCTTCGCTCGACGGCAGTGGCTTGGTTGTTTCAAGATTAAGGGTACTGTTTATTACACACGTTGATTTCAAGTACGAAATCATGCTTAATATGCTCAAAGTATTGCAAGTGTTCATAGGCCACAGTAACCACTTACCATCAGGTGGACCGTGTGCCTTTTTGCCATGGCACATGGAACACCAAAGGCGGTACAAGTGCGTTACCGGCCTTTTTGGGATTAGGATTAGGAGTTTGAGAAACGTTGGGGATTGAGGGATTGGGGAGATTAGGAAAGGAGGTAATTGGGCCTCCGGTAACCTCACTCACACGACGAAATACAACGCAAGCGTTGCTTCACGTCGGTTTTCTGTGAGGCCGTGGTATCACTCCGGTCGAGCCGGCCCATTCGTGCCGAAGCATGGCTCTCCTATACTCTTACAAGTGTGGGGATTATGGCTTATCCTTGTACTTTTCTTAGGTAGCGTACGTAGGTACGTTTCTTACTTTGGTAGCGAAAAACAGACACTTTTATTTTTAAATAACGATCTAACTAGTTTGTTGACTTTCAAAAGTGCCCTTGACTTTTAATTCGTTAATTTGTTCTATAAAAACTTATTTTGTTCGTCTTATTTTTGTCGTTGTTCTCGAGTTTTGCACTTAATTCAAAACATTTTACGGTTTATTTTTAATCAATGTAGATTTTATAGTTTTTTATTAACTCGTTGAGTACCGTCATTATAGACACAATTATAGAACAATAGGTTGCTGTTACCGGTGACCGCTTGGTGTTTGACAGTTTAAGTACTACTTTTGACCTTCCTACGATTGTAGTATATGTATAGATAATATCTGTATATTAACTAAAAATCGCGTGTTACTCACATGAATATACTGAGTAAAAACTCTATTAGTTTCGAACCACAGAGGGGTTCTTCCTCAAGAGCAGCGTGCGCGGTCGCGGCGATGGCGCACAGCCTATTACGTGAGTAACCGTCGATTTTTATTTTATTTAGTACTAGCTTTTACCCGCAGCTTCACTCGCGTCACAAAAGGATAAAAGTAGCCTATGTGACATACACACAGCGCCATCTATACCAATTCTTTTTGTTTTCCCTCGGGAATATCAAAATTTTCCGGGATAAAAAGTAATTCCGGATATCTAACTTTACGTCTGCAAAAATTCAAAGCAATCGGTTTAGAAGTTACGGCGTGAAAGCGGAACAAACAAACAAACTCACTTTCCCATTTATAAGTAAGGAAGGATGTCTCACGATAGTTATTATAAAAAAAATATATCTGTATACCCAATAGTTGTATCAATAGTGTATAAAATACCCTTAAAAACTATTTCCATTTTACTGATTGCCATGAATGTATACGTGTAACCATTATGATGATGAAATATGGTGGTAGTATTTTTATTTACAAGATTTTTATAGGGAGTTTTTTAGCATGGACGCACACAGGCCAACGTACCCTAAGTATTTCAAAGAAGTAACATTAGTATCTACTTATCTCACGGGTCTGCGGACGGTGCGCACGGGTGACTCCACAGAGTACATTAATTTGTATTAAGGAGGTTCGACTCGTCGCCTGACCAGTACCAGGCCCGAGCGTACAGCGCGTCGCGTTCCTCGCGCGCCAGGACCCATCAGATCCCAACATATGGGGCCCAACAGGGCTGATGCCGATACGGAGCCGCGGAAGACTTAACGGGCTGCCGGGGCTCCGGCTCGAAGTGCAGGAGTAGGAACGGAATGGTTTGTAGTCAGTAACAGTCTGACACTCCCTCCCGCCTCAACCGGGCGGGAGAAGTCATTGGATGGTTTTCCACCGTCAAAAACCAAAAAATAAAGTATCTACTCACCTGACATAAAGTTTGATTCCTTTTAAAACAATAGTGTGTAGTTAATATTGTTTATTAACACAAATTTCTTCATGAGAGAATCATGTAACACTAATCTTTTACCCTTTCTTTTATTAACAAAAACACAATTTCATTATTTGCCTCATACAGAGAACACTGGCGTTGACGTTACTAATACTTGGCTACTATGATAATAATTCATATACATGTACGTATAATAATGAATATACACACAGTCTGGTAGTCTGCCTGTTTATCTGTTTGCTTATAAGAATACTTATCTTTAGAGATACTCAGAGATATGGAAATATGATATTCTCTTTATAGTAAGTGATTTTTTTACACTTTTTTTTATGGCATAAGCCGGTAAACGAGCACACGGATCACCTAATGGTAAGCAATCGGCGTCGCCCATGGACACCTGGAACATCAGAGGCGTTACAAGTGCGTCACCGGCTTTTTGGGTATTAGGAGTTTGAGGATCGTTGGGGATTCAGGGATTGGGGAGATTGGGGAATGGGAAGGCAATTGGGCCTCCGGTAACCTCACTCGCACGACGAACCACAACGCAAGCGTTGCTACACTTCGGTTTTCTGTGAGGCCGTGGTATCACTCCGGTCGAGCCCGCCCATTCGTGCCGAAGCATGGCTCTCCCACACTTTGTGAAGTCTTTTCGTGAAATAATAATTCATGACGTAAATTAATAATGTCTTTCATATTTTAGTGGTTTCAATGATCGGTAGCTATAATGCAAATTATAATTTGTTTTTAACCTGTCTCAGTACTTTAAGAATACTCTAGCGTGGGGCGCGTCGCGTTCCGTGTGCGCTTCAAAGACCTATCAGACTACCACAGATGGGGCCTAGTATGGTTAATGCGGATAGTGAGCCGCGGAGGACTCAACGGGTTGCCGGGGCGCCGGCTCGAAATGCAGAAGTAGGAACGGGGTGGTTTATAGTCAGTAAGAGTCTGACAGTCTCCCTCCCCTCACCCAAGGCGGGAGAAAGTCATTGGATGATGTCCCCCTGAAAAAAAGTCCTTTCAAAATCAATAATTGCCCATAATAATATTTCAAGTAATTCGTTGAGTACCGTCATTATAGACACAATTATAGAACAATAGGTTGCGGTCACCGATGACCGCTTGGTGTTTGACAGTTTAAAGCCTCATTGTATTTAATTCTTCGTAAGTACTCGATTTGCATGGACGAAGTCACAACTAAGACTAGTCTAATATAACACAACAATTTTGTCTTAACCATACTCCATTACAAAGATTAAATTGTTATTATTCTATTACGATGACATTGTATTAAGAAAATTATGTACAGTAACGACAGAATTGTGTTTCAGAAACAATTCCGTAGGTCTGTCTATTTTGTTTTGTAATATAAGATTTATTAGATAATAATTGACTGTTATAGTAATTAGTTAGATGATAATTGGCTGCACGGTTGGTGCGGTGGCTAGGCAACCGGGCTGCCGTGCAACGTGTCGCGGGTTCGATTCCCGCACGGAACAACACTTTGTGTGATCCACAAATTGCTATTTCTGGTCTACGTGTCATTATGTATGTGAACTTGTATGTTTGTAAACGCACCCACGACACATGAGAAAAACCAAATGTGGGGCAACCATTATTAAAAAAAAAAATATGTATGTTCAATTACTTATGTTTTTAAAGCCGTAAAGCATTATTAAACTCAGTTTACAATTTGACGAGCTGACTCGTATAGTTTCAAACCAAACTTGGGGCAGTCATGAGCATCAGTTGGCTGCGCGACGCGGTGGTTCATGTTTGCCTCTCTCTTCAGTAAAACTGATGTAACCTGATGTCTTTGGTTCCGTCATTGGTTTCGTAAAACTATTACCCACACAAAAACATTTAGTGTAAAATAAGGCGAAGTCTCTCGATGCAGTCTTTCAATCGTAAAAATAATTAAATTTCATAGAAGCCAAGTCCTATTCAAATTATTTTGTAGTTACAAATCAACATTTAGTAATTGTAGCAATAGTTTTCATTGGATTATAATTATAGTGACTTGGAAATGAGCACAAGAAACAACGTGAAACAACGCTTGCGTTGTGTTTCCTCGTGTGAGTGAGGTTACTGGAGACCCAATTACCTCCCTCCCCCTCCCCAATCACCCTTTCCTCCCCTATCTCCCCAAGCCCATAATCACCAATAATCCTCAAATTCATAATCCCCAATAGGCCGATAAAGCACTTGTAAGGCCTGCGCTATTCCAGGTGTCCATAGACGACGCCAATTGCTTACTATCAGGTGATCCGTCGTTTGCTCGTTTACCGACTCATCCCATAAAAAAATCTAGTTCTACGAAAAGAAAAAATAGCTCAACTGTTTATTGTGACGTTATTGTACTCACATCTGCTTATCTGGATTGATTGTGTGATAACGTGTGATGATAATGTCACTCTTACTTTTCATCTTACCTATCACTTTTTCTAAAGAAGATAATAAAGATCTGCTTCCACATTTTTCTCACTAACTTATAATGTAGATATAATCTTGGGCCGGCTTAACCGAAGTGATACCGCGGCCTCACAGAAAACCCACGTGAAACAACGCTTGCGTTTTGTTTCGTCGTGTGAATGATGTTATCGGAGCCCATAATTACCTCAAATTTTATCTTCTCCTCAACTCCTAATACCCGAATCCCCGACAACCCTCAAATTCCTAATCCCCAAAAGGCCGGTAACGCACTCGTAAAGCCTTTGGTGATCCAGGTGTCCATGGGCAATGCCGGTTGCTTGCCATGACGTGATCCGCCAAATCGTTT